TCTGAATGGACTGAACAATTTTGTTTTATTTTGCCTGACCACCACAACGCAAAGCCAACGTGTTTGCTATGCACGCAGACCGTGGCTGTCTGTAAGTCTGACAATATCAAACACCATTTTAACATCTGCTCAAAATTTCTTGAATAAAACAGACTCGTTTGAAAAAGAAAATAATACATAAAAATAAATAAAAATAGAATAATTGGGCTATGTGGTGATTTGTGACTCTTTTTAACAAAACAACAACAACAAAAATAGCAGAGCAAACTTTGAGGTCATAACATTGTGGTTGGTGGCCCTTGGCTCTGTATTGTCAGCAGAATTTGGCCCTTGGTAAAAAATTAATTGAGGAACCCTGCTCTAGACCCTTCCAGAGCTGAGATATCGAAACTCAAAATTTCGACCCGAAAAAAAAAAAGGCAGTGGTACCACTTTCGGTTTTTTTTTTCGGGCGAAAAATAAAGTTTCTCCAATCCTCTCAAAACTCTGGATTCTAATAGAGGGCCATGAGACTTAAACCTGAGTGCAAAAATGGAGGCTCTAGACCCTTCCAGAACTGAGATATCGAAACTCAAAATTTCGTCACGAAAAAAAAACGACAGTGGTACCCCTTTCGGTTTTTTTTCGGGCGAAAAATTAAGTTTCTCCAATCTTTTTAAAAACTCTGGATTCTGATAGAGGGCCATGAGACTTAAACCTGAGTGCGAAAATGGAGGCTCTAGACCCTTCCAGAGCTAAGATATTGAAACTCAAAATTTCGACCCGAAAAAAAAAACGACAGTGATACCCCTTTTGTTTTGTTTTTCGGGCGAAAAATAAAGTTTCTCCAATCTTCTCAAAACTCTGGATTCTAATAGAGGACCATGAGACTTAAACCTGACTGCAAAAATTGAGGCTCTAGACCCTTCCAGAGCTGAGATATCGAAACTCAAAATTTTGACCCGAAAAAAAAAAAACGACAGTGGTACCCCTTTCGTTTTTTTTTTCAGGCGAAAAATGAAGTTTCTCCAATCCTCTCAAAACTCTGGATTCTGATAGAGGGCCATGAGACTTAAACCTGAGTGCAAAAATGGAGGCTCTAGACCCTTCCAGAGCTGAGATATTGAAACTCAAAATTTCGACCCGAAAAAAAAACGACAGTGGTACCCCTTTCGTTTTTTTTTTTCGGGCGAAAAATGAAGTTTCTCCAATCTTCTCAAAACTCTGGATTCTAATAGAGGGCCATGAGACTTAAACCTGAGTGCAAAAATGGAGGCTCTAGACCCTTCCAGAGCTGAGATATCGAAACGCAAAATTTCGACCCGAAAAAAAAAACGACAGTGGTACCCCTTTCGTTTTTTTTTTCAGGCGAAAAATGAAGTTTCTCCAATCCTCTCAAAACTCTGGATTCTGATAGAGGGCGATGAGACTTAAACCTGAGTGCAAAAATGGAGGCTCTAGACCCTTCCAGAGCTAAGATATCGAAACTCAAAATTTCGACCCGAAAAAAAAACGACAGTGGTACCCCTTTCGTTTTTGTTTTTTTTTCGGGCGAAAAATAAAGTTTCTCCAATCTTCTCAAAACTCTGGATTCTAATAGAGGGCCATGAGACTTAAACCTGAGTGCAAAAATGGAGGCTCTAGACCATTCCAGAGCTGAGATATCGAAACTCAAAATTTCGACCCGAAAAAAAAAACGACAGTGGTACCCCTTTCGTTTTTTTTTTTTTTCAGGCGAAAAATGAAGTTTCTCCAATCCTCTCAAAACTCTGGATTCTGATAGAGGGCCATGAGACTTAAACCTGAGTGCAAAAATGGAGGCTCTAGACCAGTGTTTCTCAAACTTTTTCAGCCCAAGGACCACTTTATCTTCCATTTTTTTTCTGAGGACCACCTAACAAAATCCCACTCTAACACGCCCCCAAAAACAAACAAAAAATGTAAGGATAAGCTAAATTTAAGTTTAAATTTAACTCCTAACTGAGCTTTGACTGATATAGGCTTTTCATTTTTCTGTCAGTGAAGAAAGTAAACATAGGGTCAACTGATATAGGTTGATTTTGCCTATAAATAATTTTTTTTCAGACGCGTTTATTTACTGAAAGCTAAAGCTTGGTAATTAAGTTTATCAAATGCATTCACAATATGTATAGGCTACACATTTATTATTGTTTGTATGCCTAATACAGGGCTTTATAATCAAAGAGGTCCTGCTGGTTTTGAGACCATGGTGAACTTGAGACGGTGTTGCACAGCGCACTTGAATCCGACTCTGAGGTCTCAAAGTGACAGACGCTGCTAATAAAGATGCTGTCGCCATGTGTGTTAATAATGTTAATCAAACATCAGAAAGAAAGTAATTTAACGTTACTGTATTTGACTGAATTACTTTTGCAAAATTAACAAGAATGAATGTTGAATTTATAGTGAAAACCATGTAGGCTATTGTAGCCTATATTTGATTACTTTATATAATATAATATTATTCAGTGCTTAAAGTTTTTCATAAGTCGATTTATTGTGCCTTTGTTCTATTTTAATTTGTGACTCTTGTCATCAGTAAGCTTGAGATTATTTTCTTAAGCTATTATTTTTTGGTGATATTGAAATTGGTCACAATAATTATGAAATTTTAGTCGCAATACATTTTGATATGATAAAAAAAAATCGTGTTAAAAGTAACATAACTTAACTGTGAAGAATATCATAGATGGATAAAATGACTCGTATAATAATATAACATTTAGCTCATGTAGTTGGTGACCTAAAGTGGTGGTGGTGGTGGTGGGGGGGGGGGGGGGGGGGTGGCTGCAGTAACTCATAGCCCCGGGGCCCAGTGAACTCTTCACTACCTGGTCCCGGAAGGGAGTGGTAGGAACCTTGGGCACATCTCCAGGCCGGGGTCTCAGGATCACATGAGAGTGACCGGGCCTGAATTCCAAGGGCACGCTTCGTCAACGGAGAATGCGTGCAGGTCCCCTACCCTCTTAAAGGAGGCCAGTGCAACCAGGAGCACCGTCTTCATAGACAGAGGCTCAAAGGGAGCCCTCTGCTGGACTTTTAAGACCACTGAGAGGAGGATTCAGTCTCGTGATCAGGTCGTGCTTCCCTAGTGACTTACCTTCAACTGCTTCGTGATATGCGGCGATAGCGGCCACATACACCTTCAGGGTGGAGGGAGACATTCTTCGCTCCAGCCCATCTTGCAGGAAGGAAAGCACAACACTGATCAGGCATCTCTAGGGGTCTTCTCGGTGAGAAGAGCACCAGTTGACGAAGAGGTTCCACTTCAACGCATAGACATGTCTCGTAGGCGATGCTCTAGCGGAAGTGATGGTAGCCACCACCGCAGGTGGCAGGGTACTCAAACCTGCCTCCCATCCAGGAGCCACACATGGAGCTACCAAGGATCGGGACGAGGGTGGCGTCTCTAAAAAAGGACGTCCTTCCTCAGAGGAGTTGGTGAACCGATTTCGCTTATAGTATTGGTTCTTATGGGTTTCCCGAATTATGAAATCGGATTAGTCTTGATTTTGATCTGGATCAGATCATGAGTTTGGATAAGAACTCAGGTTCTGATATTTCTCACGCAGGTTTTTAACCAAACTATCCTGTGCCATGCAAACCCTATAAAGCCTACATTTTTGATACGCAAAATTCTCTAAAGTATTTAAAGGCCTCTAAATTTCAACATTATCAAAAAACAAACACAAAAAGCCTTCTGTCATCTGTTTCTGATTGATAGTTTAAATATATTTAAGTTTTTAATGTAGCCCATCATTTAAAAAAAAACTTTCTGCTTCAGGTCATGCTAGACAGTAGCTATTTGTACTGATATTTTTACAGATTTTAAAAATAAAAGTAAACATAAGAATGTTATAATGTTAGTTATTATAGATAATTAGTAGCATTGCATTATGTTTTGCCCCCACAACAAAAACTAAAACATCTTACCAAGACGTTATGTTGGAGACAGAGTGACAACTGGTATTTTATAAATTTTGCTATACCTTTATCAGAATATTATCTTACTTTTTGGCCATATACACTGTAGTTATTAGCAAATAGAAACAGCACCAAATTGCATATTTTTGCTCAGTTTGGACCAGTTTTTCCTCCTCGAATATGAACTCCATATTTTCCATATAAAATCCTGATGTATCAAATGTGAAAAAAACAAAAAACAGAACTATTATTTCATGTCAGGCTTTACAGTGTTAAAATTAACTCCAGCACTGTTGCAATGCTTCTTGTTCTGATTTGACCATTTTAAGATTATTGCCACCAGCAAATAAACTTGTTCGATTAACAGCTGATAGTGCCCCCTAGTGTCAGTTCAACAATTTACCAACAGTCTTCACAATGTTTTACTGTTTGAGTACATTTGGATTAAATATTTTGTAAACATGTTAACACTGTTTATATCCCCTTTCCAGTTTTAAATTGTGTAATACGCTATCAGCATTTTAGCAGTCACCCAATAATTTTTCAATGTTTTGTATAAACAAGGAAGCTAATTATAGTGAAAATCAATAGTGGAAACAATGTCCATAGTGCTGGTAAGCTTTTTTTCTTATATTTATATCTAATTCCAGGCTAAACAGAGTCTGAGAATAACATCCACCTTCTGTTATGAACAAATACAAATCCATATCATAATGCAGCTTTCTGTTGGACTTACACACAAGCAAATCTCTTTAGTTCCAGGCATCAATTTGATAGTTTTGTTACTACTTTTATGTGAAGCTTTTAAACTACCAATAAATCAGACAATTGGCTTAAATTACACCAAACTGTAGCTGATTTCAAAATAAATCACTCCTTTCTGAAAACAAGACAGTTATATATTTCTATACATACAGCCATTGTTTCAAGTTTCAATCCTCATCAACATTTAACACACAAACACGCTCATTTTCAGAGTAATATTCATGTTTACTGCGACATTGCTGCAGATGTCGGGTAAAAAGGCCATTCCTCAATCACAAGAACTTTGGGCACCAAATGAAAAAAGACACGCATTGCATTCCCGACTGCTTTAATAAATCAGAGACAAATGTGTCTTCCACTTAGTCTCATTCAAGCAGGAATCAGCTGTATAAAACAGTCAAGCATGTTCTGCACACCTGCATTGGACAAGTCAGTCAACGAGTAAACATTAGATGAGAGGGACGTTTCACACATTCACTACCATGTGTCATCATACAAGCATTGATATTCAAGGAGAAAGCATTCCAAAGTTCTCCCAAAGACAACGTGGTTTTTATCTAATCATAACATTCAAGTTCATATCCTGTTTTTTTTTCTTCTTCTTCTTCTTGTTTTTTGGTTTTCTTACATGTAAAACCTCTTTGTCTTGTTGATTGGCAAATAGTTAAAAACTGTTAGTGGCAGCCTTGCTAATGGGTCACGTGTCTGTTTCAGTCTTGGCCCTTTAACAGTTCACAGAATATGAAAAATGTTCTGCTACAGGCATCTGGAAAAATAAATGAGTGTTTTTCTCCCAAAACACAATGCTGAGTAACATAATTCTTAAAAAAAAACAAAAACAAAAAAAAACTGATCAGTCTTTTGTTTTACGGTTTGATTTCTTTAGCTTATCCGTTTAAAATAGAATGACTGTTCATTATTTCGTACCAACATTCAAATTTCAATACTGCTGAAGTTCTACAAAGGCATAAATAAAAACAGAATATAATACATGATGCTGTATAAAATTCTAAATAAAATGTATATACTTATTTTTTTGTTTGTTTGTTTGTGTTTTTTGGAAATAATTGCCAGAGAGGCAAATGACATTTTTGAGAGCAGGAAAACACCAAGTATACCCCTGAGATTAAAAATAAATTCCCTATATGCATGTGAGAACAGTTGTTCTAATCGTTGCCTGAAACTACATTGCGCTACGGAAAACTTGAAGGCACAAAAACTGAGGCTTTTTGACCCCAGGACTACACACCGCACAGCTGAAGACCCCAGCTCACTCGTAACAAATGACTCCACAACACTTCACATCAGAACGGAACACTTTAGATAATCGTGGTAACAGAATTAGTCTCCGTGCGGCTCAGGATACTTCAACTTGGGGCTCATTGTTTCTTGTTTTTTAGGTAGAAATAAAAAATAAAAATAAAAACAGCTGAGTCAAAGTTCATACTTTAGAGGGAGCAAGGCAGTGATTGAAGGTTAAGGGCCAGAATTCAGAGAGAATCAACAGTTGAGACGCTCTATAAATGATAGATGCCCTGCATTAAGGCTGGATAATCATGGACTACGGTAAGTTAAAAAATGAAAACTGCAGGACCTCCAGAACAGTCACCAGGATACCATATATAACATAGTTGTGTTCCTCTTTTCCTTTTGTTTTTACCCAACATATATTCTTATATATTTTTATAGATAGATAGAGAGAGATGTGTATATAGATACACATAATTCTGAAGAAAGTTAAGAGTATTATATTAAAAACAAGGCTTTTCAAAGGTTGTTATGCACAATATATAGATGTATGTTACAAGATATACAAGGGTTTAAGTCACAACGATCATTACGGATACATCCAAGCATTCGACACCATACCTTTGGCTTGAAGATTAGTTTAACGGTGAAGAACACAAATAATAAAAAAGCAAAGAAAACTGTTGGAATCTGTTCAGACAAATAAATTGCTATTTAAATGTGACGGAGAAGAGAGAGAGAAAAAAAAGAATATTCAAGTTTTATGTTCTTACACTTTGATAAAAAGTGTGAATTTAACCCCAAGTTGAGTGATATTGAATTTCAACAACACTTTGAGCAAAAAAAAAAAAAGAGCAGGTAATACGATAAACTGGATTTTTCAAGTTTGTCATTCCACATGTGCAAGTCAGTACTTATATTTAGATGTATAAAAAAAATGCTACAACTCGTACACCAAGCCACAGTCTCTGATCTCGTTCAGATCAGAGTAAAAAAGAAGGGCTTGAAAAGTGGCAGGATAAAAGCATCCTCCGCTCCTCGTTTCTTTCTCTCCGCATCTTCCTGGGAAGAAAAGAGGTGGCAGTGGAGTCTACCTGTAGCCCGGAGAGGGGAAAAGACCACTTCTTTTCCTTCTGTGCCTCTTGCGCCCTCTCGTGTGAGTTCTGTTTTTCCTGATTCACTCGCTGTCGGTCTCCAGCTCTGTGTCGGACCACTCTACGGGCTGCAGCAGGCCGCTCTGTTGGGCGTACTCGATCACTGCTTTGTAGCAGAAGTAGTACTGGTCCCAGGTTTGGATGCTGAAGGCACGCTGTGTCCGCATGCGACGCACCGTCTGCTTAATGTCCACTGTCCCGATGTCCTCCAGACGGGAGAGACAAATGTCTAAAGTACAAAACGTGCCTGGGGGAGAATAGAGAGAACTTGTAAGACATGCTATAGTGCAGTTAAGAAATTAGAAAAAAAACAAAAAAAGTAGACTCACCTGTTCTGCCGATGCCTGCACTGCAGTGCACCACCACTGGGGGGCCTCCTGGGGGGCCCGTCCAATCAGGATACAGTGTTCGTAATGAGGACTCTTGTCTCCGTTTCACGTGTGCCTGGAAATCCAACATGGCTGACGCCGACTTCGGAACACCAAAATCTGGCCAGCTCATGTAGAGATAATGAGACACTTCCCTACATTCCCCTGTCTGAAAGAGAAGCTTGTACGGTCATTTACATTATTACAGACATTAACATGCATATAAAAGGCCTCAACGTATCCCTTGTAACTAAACAATAAGTGTGTGATCTAAGGGTGTTCACTCTTGGCTAGGGATGGGCATCTATTAATCAATGATCTCTCCTTAAATAGACATAAGCCACACCCATTCTGGCGGGACGCTCACTTACGTCACGCAAGTTCCCACGATAGGTTGCAGCTGTTGCCGCAGAGCAACCAATAGGCGTGCGAGTTGCCTCGCCTAGGTCTGCTCTGTGCAGCAATGCGTTTTAAATTTTTTGGCTTCAGTATTCTTGAGAAAAGGGATTTTCCCAAAGCGTAACCTAGCTTACACAATACGAGAGTACTCTCATAAGAGAACTGCATTATATGCAATTGTATACAAATCAGTTGTTAATTTTAAACTTTAATATTATAATAATGTACCAGCTAAGTGAGAAAAATGTACAAAATCAAATATGTCGGAATCGAATCACAAAGCTCATGAACAGAAATAAAATTGTGAAATTTGTCAATGCCCAGCCCTAATAAAATCAGTAAAAAGAATATATAGGCAAAAAAAGATAAAAACAGAGACTGAGGGACTGACCTGAGTGTTGAAGAGCTCCAAGTGTGATAGCTTAAAGTCCTGAAACATCTCAATATGGACATTTCTCACCAAAAAGTACCCATAATCCTCAGTGCGGCCAGCCTCTAATGGCCAGTACTGTCCGCATTTCACTCGACCTCGCTCTACAACTCTGAGATGGACAAAGACAAGATTGTCAAGAATTAAACTGGTCTTCTTTACCAGACATTAATACTTATACAAATATTATAAAGACAACAGATAAATACATGGAATAAACGGACAAACATTCTATGATCAGTTCATATTGTTTAAATTACTATTTCTGACATCCAACTGCATAAAATGTAAATATCATAGGGCTGCAACAATATAATTCTACCAAAATTTTATGTCAAAGAAAATGGACAGCATGAAGAAAGGGAGAGCAATAATTGTGTGTGTCAAATTTGGAATGTGTTAGATTAAATTAAAAAACAGCAAAAGCTTTTTTTTTTATTGAAGTATTTGACAAAACAGTACACTACCGTTTAAACGTTTGGGGTTAGTAAAATGTTATAATGTTGGTTCGAAAGAACCATGGTTGCATTTATTCAATCAAAAATAGAACAAAACAGTAATATTGTGAAATATTGTTCAACTGTTTTCTATTTTAATATTTATATTATATAAGGTCATTTAATTCTGTAATGGCAAAGCTGAGTTTTCAGCGGCCATTATTTCAATTTTCAGTCCCATGACCCTCAGTAATCATTCTAATATGCTGATTGGTGCTTAAGAAACATTTCTTATTACTACCAGTTGAAAATAACTGTGCTGCTCAATATTTTTTTAAAAAAAAATCATAATACTTTTTAGGATTCTATGATGAATAATGAGAACAGCATTTATTTGAAATAGTAAAATCTTCTGTCACTTTTGATCAATTTCATGCATCCTTGCTGAAAAAAAATCTTAGTGACCCCAAACCTTTGAATGGTATTGTATTTTAGTTGCAGCCCCAAATACAGTTATTGTGTCCAAAATCCTGTTAAAGAATCATTAAAAAAATCTTAAAGGAAAAGCAATATAACTTTTAACTAACCTTGTAGTCATAACAATGATTAAAACCATTTGCTCCCACACCATTCGCCAAAAGTCTCCAAAAGTTTTTGGCAAAGGCCCTGAAACAAGCCAAAATGTACCATTTGCACATTTACTGTATGTGTACTTCACAAAAAAAATGTTTCGTTTTGAAAAACAAAGTCTCACCCTGAGTAGCGATGTAAGCATTACTCCTCTTGTAACCATCCATGAAACTAGCATTGATGTAGTCAGACGTCTACATAAAATAAAATGTAGTGTGTAAGTTACCAACTGCATCCAGAATTTTCAGTTTCAGCCCAGAATTCTCATTTCAGTGCATCCCTAACATTGCACACATAAATTTACTAAAATTACAGTAAAAAAAGAAAGAAGCTAATATTAAACACTTAAATAATACTATAAAATGACTGCAATGAACAATGACAACCATAAAGATCATCATAAGGGGATATGGGCATTACTCTGACCTCGTCGTCCTCATCATTGAGCGGACAGAGTCGAACGCGTGATTGGTCAAGGCAAAGGACGTCACTGTAGCGATTCTTTATCTGGTTAGAGGTTTTCCTGTCAGAATAAATATCATATTTATACAAGCAAACACTTCTTGGTCTGTGAATGTATCGTCAAATACATTTACAGACAAAGAAGTTTAGAATATGCCAAATACCCAAATGCAAATGTCACTTACTTAGAGTAGTCAAAGGTTCCAGCAGGAGGTTCCTTGCGGATCTCCTCGTACTCCTGATAAATGCCCTTCTTCTTTTTGCGTTTCACGTGCTGCACCAGATCCTGCAGGCTCATTCCGCCTGGCTCAGCCACGTGCACCGACAACACAGCCGGTTCAGTCGTCGTTCCCGGAAACCAGCTCATATCTGGATTGGGGCTGTGATGGAGGGGCGGCGGCCTTGATTTCAGTGGGAGGGGTGGAATGCCATCTCCATCCACTTCCTCTTCCAGAAACTCCATTTCCTGTTGGCTGTCCTCAGCACCATTGCCATCCTGCCTACTGTCGTCTACACATGCTCCTTCCACACCCATAGTCCCTGCTCCTCCTGCTAATATAGCACCGGCTGTGTGTTTGTGATGTAGGGGCGTGTCTGGTGGCGTGTCTGACTGTGGGGGAGGCTGACGGCCACGGCCATTGACAGCATTGGCGTTGGACCCCGAAATGCCCCCGGAACCTGGCATCACAGAGCCATTCCAATGCGTGTGCCCTGCTGCCCTGTGGTTCTGCAGGTTGGCATTGCCGTCATCTAGTACGGTGCAGTTCGAGTTCAGTCCATCGCCCAGCAGGGTGGTCCCTGAAGTATTGGCAGTTAAGGGTTCAGCTGAGGTGTTCTGCCCATGCTCCATGGAGTAGGAGCGGAGCAGGCTGCCCAAGCAGTCCGCAGTGACGTAGGAAGAGTTATTGGGGTTATTGGGGCTGGAGTTGACACAGGACTGGATCCAGGCAATGTGACTATACTGTGACGAGCCACCCAAATGTTCTGGAAGGGAGCTGAACGGGATGTGATTAACCAGTTCGTGGGCTCTTACAGTGCACACCTGTAGAGGTAGAGAATTTTGAAATAAATAAGTAATCAAATTCAAATTATTGAAACCTTCCAAGAGTTTAATGTTTGTATATTCAGTCACAGAGAGCTATAGACATACCCTCTCTCTCAGTTTCTCTCTCACAAACAGACGGAGCACCGCAAACGGTGCTCGAAACCACAGCGGAGACGACACAATGAAGACGCATTTCAGACGAGCAGGGAAAGCCCCCTAAATCACAAAAAAGACAGACAGTAAACACAATACACAAAGGACTGTGGTATTTCCATTCACAGACCCACCCATTAAACAAACCATCTAAAAAAAATCAGAAACTGAGGTTAGTAAGACTTTTAAATGTTTTTAAAATAAGTCTCTTATGCTCATGAAGGCTGCATTTGTTTGATCAAATATAAAGTATAAATAATATTGTGTGAAAAAATATTACAATTTAAAATAACTTTTCTGGTTAATATATTCCTGTGATGGCAAAGCTGAATTTGTGTAGTTAACATCCTTGGTGTGAACGGCCTTTAATTTACTGATCTCGCATGACCCTTCAGATATCACTTTAATTTGCTGCTCAGGAAATATCTGTGTGAAAACATTTCCAGGATACTTTGAATAGAAAGTATATTAATTTGAAATCCAAATATTTTATAAAAATGTAAATGTCTTTACTGTCACATTTTATTAATTGAATGTGTCCTTGCTGAATAAAGTTTTAAAATGCATTTTTATAAAAAAAATGTACTGACTCAACTTTTTCACTGGTGGATTATCTTTGAATACACTATGTGCCTTAAGGTGTGTAGGCTAGGCATATATAGTGTATACCTACAAACTCATGTGCTTGCTAAACCATCTGTATTAATAAGCGGTTCATCCCCTCTGTGCTGCAGCTTCCACTATTCTGGGAAGGCATTATGTTGGGGACTTGCTCCCATTCAAAGACTACAGCATCAGTAAGGGCAGGCAGTGAAGATGAGTGATGGCTTCTGGATTGCAGTCAGTGTTCCAGTTCATCCCAAAGGTGTTCAATGAAGTTCAGTTCCAGGTTTTGTGCAGGCCAGTCAAGTTCTTTCACACAAAACTCATTCAATAATTTAGGCTTGTCTCTTTCTACCAAAATGTTTGTCTATGGAGGCGACTGCGTGCTTGATTTTGTGCACCTGTTCTGGGTTAATTAAAAGGGAATGTTTACATACTTTTCACCATTTCCGGACAAAGCACTCTCAGAATAATCCTTCTAAGGTCAACAGTCTCCCTAAATAGCAGGACTCAACAACTTGAACAATAACATTTTTCAAGACATTTCCTCCATTGCCACTTTTTTCAACCAGAGGAACCAACCAAACCACTGTTTCCAAGTAGAAGATTCAAAGTGCAAGAACTAAAACACTGAAAATCTAGTTAAATGAGCACTAGTACTCATTTACAATACCAGTCAAATGAGGGTCAGTATGTTTTTTGTTTGAATCTCAAAAGAATCTAAACTTTAATCCAGCAAAGAAACATTAAATTAGTCAAAAGTAACAAAAAAGACCTTTACATTGTTACTAAAGATTTCTATTTCAAATAAATTAAATGGTTTCCACAAAAACGCTAAGCGGCACAACTGCTTTTAACATTTATAATAATAAAAGTTTCTATTTTTGTTCAAATCAATGCAGCCTTGGTGAGTACTTGTCTAGAAAAACTATAGACCCCAAACTTTTGAATGTTACATATGAACAAACGTAACATGACAAAAAGCAATATTATCACTCTACCTTTTGTTCACTAAAATACTCAGTAGCTTTTGCAACTGAACTCAGACACTATTACAAACCTTTTGACACCCTTGCAGTTGCAAGAAAACCAACGATTTTCAAGGAAGTAGCAAGGAAGAAAATAAAATCTTAGTGATATGCAACATGCTGTAATATGATATATTGTAAAAACACAATACATAACCAGTCCTTCTTGCATGTTATTGAATATTAATGAAGCTCCAGTTCTCCAATAATTAGGAGTATAACAGTAAGGGCTGTCGCGGTGAAGGAATTTTCCTTAGTGACGATTATGAGTGGCTCAATATCATGATATCCAATATCTACATTATTTGCATTTATTATTTTTTATTTTTTGCTATATGAATACGTGTTACAATGTGGTCAGCAGCAAGCACCAAGATGAAGGAGAATTAAAAAACAAAACAGGCTTTATTAATAATCCAAACATTCTGAATGAGCATGCAGAACAAAAATGCAAAACACACAACGAGAACTGACCAAGAACAACTGAAACACAGGGCTATATGAACGGGTAGAACCAAGGAAAATAAACTAGACATACCGTCTCTGTACAAATCACATACTGTCTAGTATGTCTAATACGCAACTACAGAAACATAATTAGTAAGTTAACCAATGAAACCAAAACTAAACAGAGCAGGAAACAGGAACTAAAGGACACAGAACAAACGGTCAAAATAAGGGCCCACATAACAGAATAGAAATCAGGCAAATTGCTTGTTGGGCTATTGTCATATGCATGTATAACAGTTCCGATCCTCATATCTAAATGGATGGGAGGATTTCTAAGATTGTTGATATTTCACCAGGATCAGCACTGCTAGTCTCTGCTTTTTCTAGACAGGCTGTCAGTCAGTGCAGGTTACATTGTTACACCACTAGGTGGCGGCCAGTGACAGTCTTTGAGTGACGCCTCACTTCACCGAGACCAAAGGCATTGATTTAATGCATAGGCCAACGCTGATGCCATTCATGGGAAATATCCTTAAATGTTGACAGGATGCTACGACAAAGATTTCGCTTTCCTCTTCGGACATTGCAAACTTTTTTTTCTTTCACAAATGTATGCCTTGACCTGAAGAAGGACAGATACAGGTAATCGCACCTGCTCAGTCGATCGCTCACTCTGTCTGTTTAGGCTTGTTTAGTACAAATCTACAGATCCTCCGTACAAATCACAATTGTACACGGACTCTTAAGTAAAAAAAAAAAAAAACCCAGTTGGCCGGAAAACAATACATTCTTCACTCTTGTTATTAACTTGTTCAACATTCAAAACACATGCATGAAATGTAAAACAAGAATAAAAAAAAAAAAACGTGAACAACGTGGTTGCGGCGGTTGCTTGTATTACAGTAATTCCGTTATCACGACAGCCCTAATAATAGCAAATGCACATGACAGATGAAAAGCTTAATAGATCTCAAAAGAGCAGTTCTACTGATGAAACAGACAGATGGTCTTGACAGTATAACAACACTTACTTTAAGCAGATTCAAAATCTTGACGCAAAGCTCATAGTCAAAGTTGGCATATGTAGAGTTAGTCATATCATAGATGAAAATGAGCCCATCTCTCTGTGTCTGAACACTAAGGGGGAGAGAAATATGTTTTAGATGAAGATGCAAAGCAGTTAACCACAATAGATTTGATCAGATTTATGGATGTGGTCTATTTTACCTCTCAATGGCCTTGTCCAGCTGATATATAATGGCTTGAAGAACAGCCTTATGGGTAGTGAGGTCCGGCCGATGGAGACGTGCTGTAAAAAGTGCCAAAGCTGCACCTTTCGCGTCACGGCCGGGCTAAACACAAAGAAAGCCAAATTATTGCAAATATACAACTTACATACACAACATACTGGTAACTAATACATACAAAAATTACCAGCAAGTGAATGTGAAACAAACACTGAGCTCTATTAAGCTTTTTTAGACAGGTGAAATGTACAATATTGCAGCCACTTGCTCAGATTTTTTCTCTCTCTCTGAAAACAGGTATTGTGCCAGAAGACTTAAAAATAGTAAAAGGTATTCCTCTGTTTAAAGCTGATGATTCACAATGTTCTAACAACTATAGACCTATATCTATTTTGCCATGTTTCTCAATTTTTAGAGAAAATTGTATATAAACAGATTCCTTTTCATCTAGATTCAAATCTCATTCTTACAAACATCAGTATGGTTTCAGTAAAAATCACTCTTATGTGGCTTTGCTTCACTTGATTGACAAGGTTACCCTTGGACTTGAACCATGAATTTACATGTATTTTTATAGATCTGACAAAAGCTTTTCATACAGATCATCATTTCATTTTATTGGAAAAACTGTATATGATATATGTTGCAATTAATTTACATTTCCGTCATATACATTTATATATTTGTTAATATTTTTTAGCTCATTCTTTAATTTTATAGTTATTAAAGGGGAGGCTTTAAATAAGCCTTTTTGGATTTTCTGCCTCTCCCTGCACAGTATTTGGATCATATTTTCTTGCTATTATTGTATACATTTAACATTTGTGAACAAAACGGTCAAGGTAGCTGACTAATTTAAAGTAGTAGTGGTTGCATTAAAACTGATTATTCCTTATATCATTGGAACAGTTCTCAAGCATGCTCAAAGCTCTGAAAACTGTTTGAGATGTGATGAATACATCAGACCGGCCTACACAAACACTTGAGCAAACTCTGTATACAGCATGATCCTAAATGAAAAATGGCTGAAACAAACACTAACGACCAGACTAAACAAAGATCATGGAACTGCTCTGTGTGTGACGGTATGATATCAGATATTAAATTTCCTTCACTGTCACTTTAGCAATGATGGTGGCCTTTATATTCTGCTTTATTTACAGAACAGTAAATATGAATAATTGCGACTTACGCAGTTTTTTGTTTCGCATAATCTGAAAGTGATTAAAAATTCTTCTGTCCAAATTCTTGTCGTAGCAGTTAGCCAAAGTTTGGGTTTCTTACTGAGTTTCTTTCATTCTTCAGTCTTTCACAAAGTGCAAATGCAGATACACCACCATTTAAAAGTTTGGGATTTTTTTTATGTTTTTGAAAAAGTCTCTTATGCTCACCAAGGCTGCATTTATTTGATCAAAAATACAGTAAAAAACAGCAATGTTGTGAAATATTATTTCATTTTAAAATGGCTGTTTGCTATTTTAATGCATAAAATCACATGTTTTAAAGTAATTTATTCCTTACATTTAGCAGCTATTACTCAGTCTTCAGTGTCACATGATACATATCATTCCTTATCACAGAAATCATTCTAATATGCTGAAGATATGTTGTGCTTAAGAAATATTTCTTATTATTATCAATGTTGGAAACATTGTGCTGCTTAATAATTTGTGGAAACCATGATCATTTTTTTTAGGATTCTTTGATGAATAGAAACTTCAAAGAAAAAGAATTTATTTGAGATACAAATATTTTGAAACATTTTAAAAGTATTTACTTTTGATCAATTTAATGTGTCCTTAATGCGAATAAAATAATAACGTAACCACAGCATTTTTAAAAAAAAAATTTTTTTTTAGAAAGTTAAATACATTCCTGCAAATGTAAGTGATGTACTTATTTGATCAGATGACTGAAAATGTCAAAAAACAAAAATAGTTTTTTAACATCCAGCAACCAGAGCTAGGGCTGCAACTAACGATTATTTTGATAATCGATTAATCGGACGATTATTTTTTCGATTAATCGGATAAAAAAATTTATTTCATTTTTTGTTTATTACAACTAAATAAAACCCTAAAACCCTAAAAACTACACTCTTTTGTGTGTTAAACAATCTACTTAATACAGACAACTTCATTATAAAGAAAAACAACAAATAAAAAAAATATATATGACTATAACCTATGACAAAAATGCTATTGTAAACTAGATGTTTACTAGAAAAACTTAGCCTAAAAATATCACAAGTGCACAATAATTTTATAAAATCTGAACATTTAGTGAAAAAAAAAACATTCCTTAGTGGGGAACAAATAAGAGACAATACGTGTAGCACTAACTCTGGTAAAACGTTACACATTGCTCTTTGTATTGTTATACATTCATGAAAAACATCGTAAAAATCAGATGCACAGCTGTTTTAAATGTAAAGCACAGCTGTTTAGTGAGGAAGCAAAATATAATAGATAGGACAGAACAAGAAAGGCTATTAATAAGCTTTTATTGCGCAAAAGTATTATGACATGATCATGAAAGAGCTGCACAAAGTATCGCGAGCGCTGAATGATGCCCTTGACGCAACACGGAGTCACAGGGCGGCGCGCAGCTCTTCAGTGTCCGCCGCATTAAAGTTAAAAGCACCAAGGAAAGAGAAAGACATATTGACTGTGTATTATACAGTATCTTTGCAATAGTTTATTAAGCCTTTTCTTTTAACAGTTTTAAATTTCAGTTAGGCTACTGTGCACGTGAAGAACAATTATAGTGCGCTGACTCTACTATAGTGTTGTGATCTAACAGACACTCAGTAGAAAGTGATTAAGTTACAGCAATAAAAGTCTAGCAAGATAGTCATTATATTACGAAATCATAGACCTTTATCTACGGATCAATTATAATAATAACATTGAATCATCTTGGAAAGAGTTTCATCATGTTAACTGTTGTAACCGAACGTGACGTGCTGTTTGAACACCGAATAGAGAATGACTGACAGCCGCAGTGGAGGGAAAAGCTTAGGTTAACTTTAATTTAATTACTTAAATATACATTTCTATCTCACATTATACTATAGTATGGCTTCATAAAGTATACACGATTAACGTAGGTCACCTATTTTGGTTTCAAAACGGCGAATTTGCCGAAAGGTGAATGATTTTCGTGTATGCTGCATATTGATAGCGGTTTCCTGATGCCCGCAAATTAGTTCAAACTCACGGAATCAAGAGTGCGCATGCGAGACAGAAGATAATGTGCTCCAAACCGTCCGTGTTGCGCGCGCGAGAGAAGATAATGTGCTCCGTTCAAACAGTCGGTGTTGCGCGTGCGAGACAGGGTAGAGCGGCGAGGGAGAGAGACTGCGTGTGTGCCTCATGAAGCGCATGTAAGAAGCGCATGTAGCATGTAAACAATCCCCGTGACGTAATCAGACCAACTAATCGATAATGACATTCGTTGACAACGATTTTCATAATCGATTATAATCGATTTTATCGATTAGTTGTTGCAGCCCTAACCAGAGCTGATCTGACCACAAAAACAACAGCAGCAAACTGGTAACAGCATCCAGTTCACACATTATACTCATCTGAAATAACACTCACCAGAACTGTGAATTTCCCACTGAGTAACTCGCTCCTTAAAGGCTCCTCGTTTGGGTTAATATTGTAGATGCCTTCCTTTATTCTGGTGTTCTGCAGACACACGAGTTAGAATGTAAATGGACTCTCTCACACAGTATATTGGATGTTATCATATGAGAGCAGCCACACACACACTTTTTATTTTAAGTTACTGTACCTTGTAAGCTTGGAAGAGGTCAATGGCTCTGGAAACATCAAACTTTCTTGCCATGAGGAACTTAACCGCTGTCATCTGACTGACAAGATCTGCATTCTGAGACTGTTCCCGACATCTCAGCTCAGCCAGAAACTCCTCCACCGCCTGGCACACACACAAACACAAATTTCATCCAAAAAAAACATGTTAATGACAGTTACACATCCCATTCACAGCATTATTTTATTCTCTTTTCTATTCTTGTGTTGGGTCATGTTTTCCTATATAGTGTTAATTTTGTCTGGCCGCTATTACTAAAGATAAAAATACATAAACCTTGTTGATAAATCAGTTGATACTTGGCATTCTGAGATTATCGTAATGGCCATTAACTGTGCTGCTTGTCCAAGTTTGGCTGATTAGCATGACACCATCTGGCTGCAAACAGCATCCTTTTCATTGAGTGCCATTCAAAAGTCAATGCTTATTCTGGCAAACTACACTAAAATGAAAGGGAATGCTAGCAGATGGCTTTCTACAGGTATGATTACGGAAATATTAACTCTCCCATGTCAAACCAACAGAATCAAAATCTACCAACAGCCTTGTCAAAAAATAATGCATCCGTTTCTTTATGTCATAATTTCAGTGTACATTAAAAAAAGGGTCAGTAAAATACTTTTTCAAAGAAATTAAAGTAATACTTATATTCAGCATGGATGGATACAATATATATTTCAAATAAAAGATGTTCTTTGGAACTTTCTATTAATCAAAATGTCCTGGATATCTTTGTTTCCACCATAATGTTTTAAACATTGCTATGAGAAATGTTTCTTGAGCAGAAATCAGCACATAGAAAGGATTTCTGAAGGATCTTGTGACACGGAAGACTGAAGTAATGATGCTGAAAATTCAGCTTTGCCATAAAAGTAATAAATTGCATTAATAATATTTTAAGATTATTTTTGTTCATAAGTGAGCATATGAGACTTCTCATTAAAAAAGACTCACAAATCTTATGGTAATTTAGTTTATATATTTGCTAGGCTAAAATAACATCCCACCCTCTTAGCTATCCATATTACCAGACATTAAATGCCACTAGTTAATGCACTAATAACCTTCCAGTCTATCTACAGTAGCTACCTCATATTAACTGCTTTTTCAAAAATAAACCAGTTTTGCCAATAAAAAAAAACGTTTACTTCTGCAGTGCCCAAAGATGATACTACTCAATCAAACGCATGTGCAGAAGCAGGAGGATGATCTGACATCTGTAAAGAAAGACGTTATGCTACACTCATATTACACAGTTTCCTCAACGAGTCAGAACAAATGGCACCTCCAACACTATCATACGAGTGTTCACACGGTGGTGAGACAGGTTAACCTTAACTTACCTGTCTTACATTTTACAGCACTGGAGTACATCACACACACGGTTCGCTGTTATTTGGCGACAGCGACATGGGCTTTCATATCCACATATTTGACAGGACAGCGACGCAGAACTGTGTTATAATCGCTTTTGTTTAATGCAGTCATGCTGGAATAAGACTCACGTTAAACAGACTAACGTTAGATGACGCGCGTCACATTCAGGTTTTATGCAAACCTAATGTTACTTGCTGCTAGACAGCTGGTGTTCAGTCCAACACATGTAAGGGTCGTTATACAAGAAACCAGTTCTCCAAAAATCTACAATCATAACAATCAATAAATATTTAATAAGGCGCTCAATATTCTCTTAAGCGTCGTTAGCTCTCTAACGCGGCTAGCATTAACCTCAGCTAAGTTACCTTAAAAAATAGCCACAGGGCCGCGATTCGTGTTAATAAATAAAACACAAACTGTATCATCAGACATATCACCTTGATACATGCTAAAAAGTAGCTTGTGGTGGCTCAGCGTGAAACGCCACGGAATCGACGGAGGACTAGTGAAAATATTTAGGTATCTTACCACCTCCTCTTGAGTTGTCAGGGCTTCCGCCATCTTGAAGCCTGAGCAGCAACGTCTACGGGCGCGCCCTCTCTGCTGACGGGAACGCGCCGCTAGTGCCAGTCAAGCGTGCATCGGGATGGACGCGCATGCGCAATAATGTAGTTAAACTGTGCTTGAAAGTTAGCACACAAGATATTTATAAAAATGAACTAAGCAAGCACAAGGAGAATTGACCGGGAGCAGTTTGTTTTACAAAATTGATGTTCCAAATTTGTACAACAAATCAGCTAATTTGTAAAATAATATGGTTCTCCACTATAATATATTGGCCGGTTAGCTCAGTTGGTTAGAGCGTGGTGCTAATAACGCCAAGGTCGCGGGTTCGATCCCCGTACTGGCCAGATGTATGATTTTATTGAAATGTTAATGATTTCACTTGCCATAGGTCTAAAAAATGTTTAAACATTAGCAATTTGGTTCATTTACATGAGCGTAAACATTATTTAGTTTCATTTAATTTAAATAACTCAAAAACAAAACGATTCCTTATTTTTACATTTTATTTCAATTTTGTAATACAAAAAAATATCAAATATTGTCCAGTGGTATGGGAGTCTCATATGTGACCATCTCTTTCCTCTGCAGCACTGAAGCTCATTTTCGATTCTTCTTAGATTTCCTTAGAAAATGAATATTTTTGGTTATATCACACTGTATGAAGGTATGCATTCATTATGTGGATATATTGTACTTTTATGAGTGCGATAACAGATTTATTGACTTTACTCACTGAGCTTCTTCATTAAGAATGACAACTTCATCCTCTTCACTGTCTGAGATTACCATCACTTCATCTGCACGCACGCACACACACACACAAATGTTTTTAGGCAGATAATTTTTCTTTGATTTTAGAACAAACATATATAGTGTTTATTACTCTACAGCACAAACACACACAAGTCTCACCACAATGTACCTGTTTTTCTGTCCTCTGTCTGAGGTTCATCCTCTTCATCCTCATCGAGTCCCCATGAGTTTACAATACCCTCACCTACGTGTGCAGTTCCCGTAGCAACAAGAACAGGAGAGGGAACACTGGCTCTGGGGTTAAGGTGTAATATAAGGGTAAAAAAAAAATACCTGGCACCGCAATACAATATTCCTTTAACATTTCATGCTCCTCTAAAGAGATGTCAAACCATCACTGCTTTTTCTGCTTTCCTTAACAAGATATTAAAACAACTCAATCAACAAGTTATTGGCTATTCCCCATGTCCCCATGCTGTATGCATTCAGATACGCTTCTGTGGAAGTTTCTGTTCTGTTCACAATGTCATTGGCCGTCTCTTTGACATCTGTCATCTCCACCGGGGCTTCGTCTCTCTTAAGAGTTGTGATTCGCTCTTTGGGCATGGACTCAGCAAAGCCAAACTTTCCACCCTCCTTTCTAAAAAATAAAAAAAATAATAAAAACAAGAGGATGACTTTTTTTTTGATGCTTTATATTTTCTGTAATATTACACAAATAGTGATTAAAGGTATTGTATGAATTGGAAGATCAAATTCTAACATCTAAATGTAATTTAAAAAAATCTTCTTAAACTACACACATACCTGATTTTTTTGTCATTCTCTAAGGCTTTGTTGATGAGCTGTGTAATTTCAGAAACTTTTACACTTGCTATTTTGCTGCATCTCAAAACCTGTGGGAAAACAACATTTTTATGATTCTATAGTACAGAGTAATAGAAAAAAAAATTATTTGAATTTCGTATGTGATAAATCAATGACATTAACTTAAAATAAGTTGTCTAATTACTTATTTGACTTGAATTTACTATTACTACAAAGAAACTAAAACTAACACACACTCTTACCTGGTCTTTCAGTAGCATGATCCCACCACTGGACTGAATGGAGCAGATCTCCTGATGTTTGTTCATGGCTATCACCAACAATCCATCCTTCACTCGCTCTTCTCGTTCACAAGGGTCCACAAGCAAATACGAGCTTAGGAAGGAATAAGTAAACAAAGATTGTAAAAAAATATCTCTACTATCAAATGAAAACTTAGCAATTACAGTAATAGAAGAGAAAAGAAAGTTTGAAATGCAACTCAATACATAATAGTATTTGCAATATTTAAATTGCAGTGAATTCTATGGAAACTTGTTTCCACACCAAAATAATAGGTAATTGTGACTTTTTATCTCACAATTCTGACTTTTTCTTTTTCCTCAGAATTGCATGATATAGTGTCTCAATTGCGTGTTATTAAGTCATAGTTTTTCCTCATAATTGGACTTTATAGCTCGCAATTAATTTGCGAGTTTAATTTTAAGAAATTCTGACTTTTTTTCCTCACAATTCACACCATTGCAAGTTATAAAGTCAGAACTGTGGAAGAAAATTACGTTTTTCCTCAGAATTTGACATTACAGCTCGCAATTCCGAACAAATTTCAAGATATATTATCAACTCGCAATTGCGACCAAACATAAGGCTGAATTGCGTGTTTATATCATGCAACTCTGAACTCAGAAATGCGAGATGTAAACAAATGTGAGGACATTTTTTTACAGAGTTTATGTCACATAATTCTGACATTATAACTATGTTAGAATTCTATTTTATTTATATAATTTTGAGAGTTTTTTTATTGCATAGCGTAAACAAGCTTCAATATAATCCATTTTCCCAATTTCCAGCAAAATCATATCAGTAAAGAGATTGCTGTAAGAGATTGTGTGCATGTGATATTTCTTACCCCTGCAGGAAGAAAGCAAAGCTGACACAAATGGGCATGTGATAAATACTCAGAGGAATCGGATCTCTCTCCTCTGGACTGAACTGCTCGAAACAACAACAAAAATATTATAGAATAAAGCACCAATACAAAGATATCACCTGCCAAATGCATCCATTCTGGGGTTTCAGGACTCACCACAGTAACATCTCGTCCCTGAATAGCGACGTCTGGCCGCCTAAAGTGTGAGAGTGCAGATATGGCAGCAATGCTTGCCGCATCCATCAGGTTTCCATCATGATTTAACACATGGACATCAACCCGTATCTGCCAAACCTGTTGATAACAGAGGCATGGTGAGTGAAGGGGCATTTCATATGGCATACACTTTTTTCGCCATAATCGCCATATAAAAAAAAAAATATACTGACACCAAACTTTTGAATGATATTGTATTATGTTATCATATGACAGGTGTGTATATCACCTTTTCTCCTGAAACTACACATAGAGACTCCGTGTCTATGCATTTAGAATTCCGTAGACACCTCTCAAGCTGTCTGTTTAACAACACCAACAACTCAGACTGCCTATAAAACACACACACACACACACACACACACAAACAAACAGGAGGTAAGAAAAAAGACAAGAGAATAGTTTACATGTTTGTGTGTGACTGAGTGTGAACCTGTTGGGCTCGAAGGTTGGCGATGCCATGGGAGACAATTCCAAATTAAAAAACACAATGCCTTCTGTGGGACGTGAATCTTTTGGAGGGACCAACTCACAAGTGACCTGACACAACACCCTGAAATGAAAAACACTGTTTAAAATGGGATTTTCAAAGTAGACTTAAGGCCTGCTTTCACAGACTTGGCTTAGATTTAAGCCAGGATTTGGCCTCAGTTAAATTAAGATATTTGAGTATCTTTTATAAACATGCCTTAAAAACACTGATGTGCATCTGAAAAAACAATAGTATTTTAAGATACATCAGTGCAAGTGGCTTTCCACTCAATTATGCATTTTAGACTAGGCTAGGGTTAAGCGTTGTCTGTGAAACCGGTAGTACATTTACCTAGAGAGTAAACAAGAGATTGTTATGACTTCCTAATCGGTGGTTTGTAATTTTCAAAGCAATTAATTTATATCTGATACGGTACCTTGTTTTCCCAAGTTCCACGATGCAACAGCCATAATCGGTTCCAAAAGTGATTTTAATATTCCGGTAATCGTATGTCTGTCTCCCATCTAAGCGCTAACGAAAACAGAAAACCACTAGTCAGCTAAAGATGAGAGAATAATCACAACATTTCATTACAATGACGCCAATATACAAGCACAAGGTGCTACTTACTTTTTTCTCTTCAATAGCTTTAAGAAGAAAAAGCTTCTCGCAGTTTGACAACGGAGTATCCCTCATTTTTGACAGCTTGAATATCACATAAACAACTCGATCCACCACTTCATCCTCTCACACGCTTCTTTTACATGTTCTTTTAACGCAGAACCTGCGCGATGTTATGACGTAAGTGTAACATTGGCGCACAGTATTTGCGTAGGCACTAGAGGAGCTTGGTGAAGGTCGGAACGTGAAGGAACGATCCCGCTCTTTCTTTAGCTCCCCCTGCAAATTTTATTAAAACATGTTCTCGGAAAATGTATAATTTTATTTGGAGGCACAAAGCTCATTATATTAAAAAAGCAGACATCATTGAACCTTACGAACAAGGTGGTTTGAATGTGATTGAATTCGAAAACATGAATATTTTGTTAAAAACTCAAATGGCTGAAAACCTTTGTTTGTAATGAAGTTTTTGGTTTACAGTTAATTCAGCTTTGTTTCAAGAATTTGGTGGAATTCAATATTTTCTCAAATGTGATTTTGATTTATCCAGACTCCCGGTGAAACTATCAACATTCCATCAACAAGTTCTCTTATTTTGGAAATTGGCACGTGTACACACAATTTTACACCTCTTCAATTTGGAAAAACAAATATATATTGCACAGGAATAAATCTTTATGCTTCAAGAATTGGCTGAGCAGAAGCATATGGTCGGTGAGGGATCTAATGGATGAAAACCTTTTAAGATAATGATTTTACATTAAAGCATTTACTTGTCACCCCAAAGAATTCTTCACTGTCATTAATGCAATACCTTCTGGCATAAAAATGCTGATGAGATATGCTCTTTCTTATGCTGAAGTTAACCCAGCTCTTCCCACTTTATTCATTGGTGATATTCATTTTGAAAGTGCTCAGTGTACTAACAAGTAGGCTATAAGACAGGTCGTCTTAAAAACATGTTATCCCTGTCAAATTAAAAGAAATAGCCTAAA